GTAATAGATTTTGATTGTTAAGGAGAATTAAAGGAAAATTTCTTATCTAGCCCTGGTTTTGTTTAATGCAATTTTATTTCTAGAGCTTTAAAAAAGAATTTATAAAATACTTTAAAGTAAAGAACACTATTGATATAGTAGTTAAAGATGATCATAAAGTGAGGGTTTGACTATCTGAAATAAGTAAAGTTCTTATATAAAGAGAAAATTTAGAATGTAAAACAATTATATATATAGGAACAATTGGTATTTAATTTCTTTGTTTTTCTTAAGTGTGCAAAATATTTTTCTCAAATATTTAAAATAATCTCCATGAATGATTATGTGATATGGAGGTGAATTTAGTTGTGTCTGTTGAGACTTGTGAATTTATGTTATCATATTTTTCTGTTATTTAATGTCTTATTTAAATTAAACAATTTAAAGGAGATTAAAAAAAAAAAAAGAGGTTTGGAATTTGGAATCCCAATCAAAAGTAAGGCACAAGTTGATTGGGATTGGGTATTCCTTGCTGTTAAGGAATTTAACTAATTTTTAAAAAATACAAATGGAAGTTGAGGGACCAATATTGTTATTTTACTATTCAATAAATAGCATTATGATCCAAAAACCCGACACAAACTTGTTCCTTTCACAATAGGTGAAGGTGTCGACACATAACTAATTGTAAGGTATTGTGCAAGTCTAACACAATGTGAGGGTGTCGATACTGATCGTAATTTGTAGTGATTGAGCATTGAGAGTTTTTGAAACTCTTGATATTAATTGTGTATTGATATTTATGCACAATGAATCAGATTTTATGTGAAGAACATCTATTAATGTAATCTTTTTTTTTTTTTAACAAAGTTACAAATATGGGGGAGGGGGAATTGAAACTTAGCCCTCGGATTGGGAGGATGCACTTTTACAAGCCGGCCTATGGCCGTTGGGTCGTGAGGCCCAAGTGCATTAATATAATCTTATTTAATGATTATATATGCATAAAGAATATGAAAAATATTTATTATGTGCTTTGGTTTTATAAATTAAAATAATTGTTTACATAATAAATATGTATATTAATTTGTTCTGTCTAAATTAAAATAAATATTAAGTGTAACGTATAAAATATGTGTTAATATTTGAAGGTTAAATATATATAATTAGTAACAAATAAAGTATTAACATGACATGGAATAAGTTTTCTTTGAAATCCTCTACCTAACAATGTTGTATGTGTATATTGTACAAAATGTTTATAACTTCATTAATTTGCTTACTTAGAGATTGAATTAGTAAAAATCTGATTATTCATATTCCTTGAAATATTCTACATAAAATAAGCCATGAATGAATCCATAAAAAACTACAACTTTGGAAGGCACCCTAATATTATAATTAAAATAATTTTTATTTGAAGACCATTATTGTACCCAACCATTCTCGATGAATTTTTAATCCATATTGACCTCAACAACCGTCTAAAACGAGCATAGGTGCAAGAATGATTCATCCATAAATAAAATAATTAGATATAAAACCCCCCTGCAAGACTTGGTCAACTCTTTGAATTACTGCTTTAAAAAATATTAAAATGCATGGACTATTTCAAAGACTTCAGGCTATAAAAAGGCATGCTTTCAAGCTGGATTTCTCACCTACAACAAGAAGCAAAAACTCAGACGAGTTCAAGCTAGAAAAGTTGCCATTACATAATGAAAGGAGTTCACAATATCCTTGTAGCTTTAGCCCTCTTGGCTTTGGCTTCATCCTTAGCCTTAGCGTATGACCCTAGCCCTCTTCAGGACTTCTGCGTGGCCCTCGACGACATTAAGAATGGTGGTATGCCTTCTGCATATACACTGTCTGACCCTTTTCTTAGTGTAATGATATCAATTATATGAACTAATTAATACTTTCTTTGTGCAGTTTTTGTAAATGGGAAGTTTTGCAAGGACCCAAAGCGTGTCACA